TAATTTAATCGCATGACTTACGATATGATGTAAACCATACAGTATATATACTATATCGGTAAAATTTATAATATTCTTTAAATAAGTGCATTTCATTTTTTTTTATTCATAAAACATAACCTATACATTCTTCTGTTTCTAAAATATTACAAAGTTAATTAATCATTGATATAAAATACACTGGACTGAGAAAATCTCTACCTCTTATATGATCTAATCTTAGCAAGTTATCAGCCACCGACCTTGTATATATATATTATTGAAAAAGGATTTGAAATTGGTTTCTTTTTTTTTTCTCTTGTACATAATTATCAACTCTTCATAAATAAAGGAATCCTATACAGCTGTACAATCAGATAATTATTGTTTTAATAGAACCCCGTAACTTCTTGGTAATAGATTCCCACTGGAAATCACCTCCAGCGAGGAATCTATGTAACATATTTTTATTTGTTTCAGGAAAGTCAAGAAGATATAAAAGATCCTATTAGTGAACTAAGAAGAATTATACATTGTATTAGAAGGATATTCCGAATAAAGGTAATAGTTTTACTTTGCCTTCATTTATTTTGTGTCAGCTTATTGGAAAACAGGTAAATTTACTATTTATTTTAAATTATGCCCAGAAAAGATATTCAAATTTAAATTAATTAAATTTTTACAATTAACCCGTAACAGAGTACGAAAAATATCGTCTTTTATGGGATCCAAAAAATACTTTGCACTTTAATAGACAGAAGAAGCAGGATGCTTGGATTACCATAGCTACAAATTTAAATATTAGTGTTTTGGATGTAAAACAAAAAATAAGCAGTCTGCTGGGTTCTTTCCGCAGAGAAAAAGCTAAAGGTACACAGACTACTGGAACAGGTAAAGGTAAGTAAATACTGAAAGTATGAATAACATTTTATTAATAGATAATGGTATATAAATTGTTTATTTATTACTGCCGCTTTAACTTCATAACATTCTTCTTATTTAAGGTGCTCACGAAGTTTATGTATCGAAGTGGTTCGCATTTAAAAGGTTTTACTTTTTATTGGATAAAGACGAGCCCAAAGACACAGCTGACACACAGGTAAGCAGTTGGATACAATATTTTTATACAAATTAAGCATATTCATCCTGCCACGGCACACGGCCATTGGTTGAAAAGTAGGCTTTATATTCATCACGAATTTCTTGAGCAGGTAAACTTGATTTTCGAGGTATATTTCTAATAGGTATTAGCGATGTCATGGTGTCATTCTACATTATCCAACTACCCGCTATAAACTGTCCATTAACTTCATTGTCAAATGTTCCTGGTGGCGTATATACATCTTTAGAGCGATGATTTCGTCTTAGAAAATTGTGTAAAAAAAGTATTGCCAATACTATATATTTCGCTTTTTCTGGCTGGAGTGGCATAGGTTTTCTCAATATCCGAAACACAGCGGACAAAATTCCAAATGTATTTTCTACTAATCTGCGAGCTCGACTAAGTCTATAATTAAAAATACGTTTAGGAGATCTTTGTTGAAACTGGCCTGAGAACGGTCTCATGACATTTCGAGATAAAGCAAATGCTTCATCGCCAAGAAAAACATACGGTATTTTCTTCTCACGATCAAGTAAATTAGAATCTTCTGGTATGTCGTCGGCTTAATTCGCAAACTGCGTAACTCCATTTATGCAAATTTTACGGGAGAAGCAAAAAACTATATAATATATTTCTGACTAAAAATAATCTATTTCTAAAATAGCCAATTAAGAAAATTAGGTAGGTGCCATGAAACATTGGCCATTTAATTGGACCTCAGTGGATATTCTTTAAAATATTAACATTTTTTATAACAAAATGGACTTACGCGGTTTTCTAAAATATCTCGTGACAAGAAATTGGAGATACGCACTTTTATTTATAAATTAAAAAATTAAAAATAGACAAAACAACTACAAAAACACTTTTATTTTAAAGGATTGACAAAAAAAATCATGGTTAAATATTATTAACAAGATTGATGACAACAAATTATTATTATTAGTAGGTACATGAAAAAGTATTGCAGCAAATTAAATTATTTGTGAAAAAAAGGTAAAACATTGCACAAAATACTTTATTTCAAATTATTGGTAACATAAATGCATGGTTAATTACTATAAAAAGAACAATGACTTTAAATAAACTTCGCCACAACAAACACAAAAAAAACAAATCTTCAGTAATGGGGTAAATTATCAAAGAAATCATGATAATCTTTTTCAATGCTCTGTTTCAGCTGTTGGAGATGATATTTCTCAGTCTTGATCTTCAGTCTGGTTTGATGAAGTGGTGGTAGATTGTCAAAAACCACCGGTGTTGCAACATTTACGTTCAGTCTGATAGGTAAAAGTTGCCAATCTTCCGGTTGTCTTAACTTGTAGAAAACTCCTTCTTTTGAATATTTTATTGCCTTAAGGTCAGTGACTACTGGCGATCCACTTGCTCTCCCTGGCCTTATGGATTTAAAAAAATTAATATCATCACACTTTTTAAAAAAATTGTGTAGCAAGTATTCGACTTTGTAGGGTGTTTTTAAACATGCCGTCTTGCAAATTTGAACATAGTCTGCCGGCACATTAATTTTCTTATTTTTAATCTTACGCTCAATGACGGAATGTACACTGTCAACCTCCATTTGGGTATGACCTTTTTGTAAAAAATTTTGCCTGCCTATAAATTCTGTATGAATGAGCCTTAGATTCCCATATCGGTTTTAAGTATAATTTTGATGTCGAGGCTCGACAATAGTGTGATTCTAACTTTGGTAAGGAATCAAAAAAATCGTGAAGTAATTTAAGACGAGCGCTAGATGTTTGATCAGAATTAGGTTTATTTGGTAAAGCTTGATGGTTGTCTTTTAAATCACTTTGAACCCATTTCTTAATAACCCATTCGTTTACACCCAGTGTGTTGAGGAACATTTTCTTGCATAACCTAAGTCTTTCCTTGCCCAAATAAAACTTGTTTGAAAATGTCCTCCTGGAAACTTCATTCTCACCACGCTTCCTAACTGTTGGATGTGCCCAAACATGACTTTTTATAAATATTTTTTTTCCTTCCAGGTATAATTCCAAAATTGCTCAAATATTTCTTTTCTCGTGTCTTCCTCTAGCTGTCTACACTGTAGTTTGTAATTTTTATTTTTGCTAAGTTTACAGTTGCAATTTATTTTCAGCATCCTAGGTCCTTTTACCAAATAATACTTCCATACACCATTCTCTTGCTTTTTCCCTGCATAAGATTTTCCTTTTTCTCTATTAAATCTATTTGTATTGACATTCCATTTATTTTTGTCAACTTTGTATTTTGTCGAACGTTTTTGTTTTAATTTATCATCTTGGAGATCATCTTTGTGAACTTGATTATCAATTCTTGTGTCATTTGAGCTTAGGCTTTCGTTTTCCTCTCCGCTAAATTCATACAATGGGTCACCTTCATCCGACTCTCTTTGTGTATTAGTATTAAATGCGTTTTCGTTGATTCCGTACTTTGCATAACTATGTCGATTTGTGTCATTTTGTAGATTATCTTTGCTAACCCCATCGTCTATTTGAGTATCATTTGATTCTAAACTTTGATTTTCTTCATACAATGGTTTATTTACATTTGACTCCAAATTTACATTTGACTCCAAATTTACATTTTCTTCCAAGTCCATTTCCTGATTATTGCCAATTATATTAGACATTTCAAAATCATCCACAAAAATTTGATTAGAAACTCTTTGCATAATATTAACTTCGTTTAACTGAAAACTTATTGTTCCATCTGTTGAAATGTCTGTACTGAAATTTGGAACATCTAATTCTCTTACTATGCCGATGGCGTCGTTTTCAAAATTAACTTTATCATCAAGAATAACTATATCTGCCTCCTCAATAATAGACATAATATCCGTAGTTGAGTTATTTTCCAAATCTAGTATGTTGGCTTCATCTTCGACGATTTCGGTACCAGGGCTGGTAATAACTCCCGTATTTGCTAAGACTTCTGAAGGCATATTATTAACTTTCGCCAGAGCTTCAAAAATTCTTTTTGTTCTAGTTGACATTTTTCTGAAACAATATCATCACTAAATTATACTTGTCTATTAAAACCCTAATAATTACATGTGAAAAGTGCGTATCTCCTTGTATAGTTTTCAAATTTTATTCAAGTTAATGTGAGAAAACTACGTATCTCCGTGAAGATATTAAAAATAAACATTTTAATCTCCTTTCACCATACTGATATTAAAGTTTTTGATCAGTTAATATACAAACGATTTCTTACCTGATTATGATAAGCCTTTAAAATAAGTAACACGTATTTCACGTAATTCACTACTTTTATAAGACAACAACACGTGCACTTGTTGATTCATATGGCAACTAACGGAGTTACGCATTCTTCCAAATGAAATTGGCGCGAAGGACTTACGTATATTTCTAAAGTAGCAATAGAACGAAAACTAATTTTTTGTTGGAGTTACGCGTTGTGTCAATGGATTCGTTTGGCAATTTTACATTAGATGGCAACTAAATCAATTTTTGACCAAAAATGGAGTTACGCAGTTTGCGAATTAAGACGACGATGTTCAACTCGTTCCGGGCCAATTTCTTATAGAGCTCACTATGTTTAAATACTCCACCGTCCGAAATTCTTCCTTGGCATCCAACATCAGCATATATGAAATTATAGTCGGCATCAACCACCGCGAATAGCACAATACTGAAAAAAACCCTTATAATTGTAATATTCGCTCCCACTATTAAATGGCACTTGTAAAGCAACATGCTTGCCATCTATTGCCCCAACGCAATTTGGAAAATTCCATAATTCTGCGTATCTTTTTGAAATTTTAAGCCATTCTTCAGGGGTTGATGGCATCTGAAAATAAACACAATGTGTTATTGTTTCGATCTTTACTTGACGAAAATCCATGTTTCCATGTTTTATAATAACTATACAAGCAAACTAAGTCTCAAAACACCTCATGTTCAAAATAAAAGTCAGAAATTAAATGTTTTAGAATCATTAATAGATACAAAAAAGGTAATATTATTTTAAATGATCAAATTGAAACCAACAATTCCCCGCTGTTAAATAGCTTTTAAAACGAACACATGTTTCGGAGTATCCTTTATGGGTCAGGCACCCTAACGCCTCGACCATTCTCATTAGATATTTTGTAGTATATTTTCTGAAGAATCTAGAGTGTTAGCAAAATAATTGTTAAAATAAAATATTTTTATATTTTCAGTGCGAAAACATCGACGAAAATATTGCCGAAGACCATGTTTCAGAAAACATAGATGTAACTCTGACGGGTAATAATGAGACTGGTGGCCATGCTTCATCTATAATAGAAAACCCTGTTTCCGTAAATAATGAAACGGACGAGTGCCACACTTTCCAATCGCCCAAACCAAAAAGAAACAAAATAAGTACAAAGAACAGCAACTCAAGAGCTGAAGAGGCCTATCGCATTTTGAAAGAAACTGTTGCTTTTCCGCAAGAACCTGCAGATCCATGCTCTGTTTATGGCGCACATGTCGGAAACAAATTAAAAACATATAGCCCAAGGACACGTGTTGAAGTTGAGCATGCAATAAACCAAATTTTATATGCAGCAGACAGAGGAAAATATGAAACTTCTCCCATGAATGCGTATGCACGTATGGACTGGACCCATCAAACACCTGGAAGTATTTCCCAATCAAACTCAAGTTCGCAATGCCCTACACCCAGTTCTTCGCATTCCTCACTGGATATGCCAGATCTAAATGCTGTTTTTCTAGATCTATAAACTTGTAAACTTACGAAATACCATTTCCTTTTATATAAATTTTGTTGTCTATCCTATTTGATGTTATTCTCGTTATTGTTTTTGTTCTAGTTTATTTTTTATGTAAGAATTATACATTACATTACGTTTATTAATAAATAAATATCTTTTCATATTCACCCGTACATGTTCTTTTAGCACATCAATCAGCGCCTTGCAGACTTCAGGAATAATTGTAGAAATTACCTGTTTCGAAATTTTAAATAAATACTGTAGACTCGTGTAGGAATCTCCGGTGGCGAAGAAACGCAAGGTAATAGCTAACCGTTCTTGTACACTAATACATCTTCTAAATTTAGTATCAGTTTTACCAATTTTTGGACCAATCGCATTTATTAGAAACATAAAATCTTCAGATGACATACGATTAAAATTTTTAAAGTGACCACTGTTTTCTTGTAGCCTCATATCTGTTAATAAATTATACCCACTGTATGCCTGCCTGCTCTCAAATAATTTTGTAATCCACCATCGCTTACGGTTTTTCCTATTTTTCTCTACCTCTTGCAATAGTATAAAGGCGGCACTTGCAATAATCACATTTCGTCTTCTCGGCGACATTTCAACAATATCACTGGAACGACAATTTAACGCGCACTAATTTTATGCTAAAAATATTTTTCGCGAACAATATATTTGCTTTTGTGTGCTTACGCAATTCGTGCGAGTAAAAATGCTCTAGTCAGTACCCGCCTTAAGAAATACTATGTGTAAGCATGTACATTTGATCAAAATGTATGAACAACGAACTGGTAATAACTCTTTGTTGGATGTTACTGCCTTAGCACTAGCAGAAAAGTATATCAAGTCGGGAAATAAAGAAGAAATTGCCCACTTCATTGAAGAAAAATGTATGTAGCAACAAGAAGAAAAGTTGGATGATCAGGATGCTAGGAAGCTTAGATTAATTAATCACACACGTTGGCTGTGGAGGCACTGGACGGTAAAGTGTTTGACAAATTTATGCATAATATTCAGGGAGCAGTAAATGAAACCGATCAGGCAAACCTAAAACTAACGAAAAAGAAAAAAATGGAAAAGCAGGAGTATTTTCCCTCAAAAAACTTAGAAAATAAAGTACTTGCGCTTACATTTTAAATATATTTTGTTAATTTATTCAATTTCAGGAAATACCAACATGAATTATTGGGGACCTGACACGTACAGAGATTTGACTTGATAACCCTGAAGAATAGATGTTCCATATTGTACGTTGTACATTTACTTTCTTTATAACATTATTATAATTGGTTATAAAACCTTTTTGCGGCTATTTATGTTTAATTTCGTTTTGCCGCTTAACTTTTCATATTTTTTTCTGCTACTGATGATCCCAGTAGGCCATGAGTTTTTATGATGGAAATGTGATAATATTGTGATAACATGTTTTGTGATATCAATAGAAGTACGAGTTGCTGTAGAGACTTTCCACTTTTTTTATTTAATAATGATTTGCGAATAGTGTTTGTTAACATGGACACTCTTGAATTTAATAGGCAGGTACCTATGTTAATAAATATGTATATCGAAAGGTAACACCTAAGTATGTATTTGGTTTATAACTTTTGAGACAAGGTATCTAAGTATTTAACATTATCTTTAGCGTTTTGTATTTTTATATTTTCCAATAAACTTATTGTTCCAAAAATGAAAGTTGTTTTACATTATGCCAATCATTCCCGAAAAATAATGACCTATCTATGGGATCTTTATTTGTTTATCCCATCAATAATAGTATATTATTAAACGAGCACTTTATGGTAGCCATTATTCACGCAGGGTGACGTTTGCATCCCGAGCCGTAGGCGAGGGGCACAAGTCACCCGAGTGAATATTGGCCATAAATTGTGAGTCTAATACTATACTTTGTCCACGACCATTATGGTTTCTTTATTAAATAAAAGTTAAGTGTAGAATGGAAAGTTTTTATTAAACATAGATAACTAACTGTTGTTTTTTCCACTTTTCAATTTTTCGATTTTTTGATTTTTCGAATTTTTTAGATTTTTTGATTTATCGATCTAGAAAATATCGTTATGAAAAGTATCGCCTATCTTTAGTTATCTACCGGAATGCGCCAGAATTACAAAAGCGTGAATTATCATAATTCACTCCGTGATATATGGGTACTATATGCTTTTAGTTAGGAGGTAGAATATTGATGTATTATTAAGTGGTCGTGGACAAAATATTTAAGCAGTTTGAAGATATATTTACAGAAGTATAATTATTGTAAAATAGAAATTAATGACATGTCATGTATATAATTGTAAAATCAGAAAATGTCATAATAATTTTTTTGTTTTTATCTTCAATATCCTCTCTCCCGGCAACCAGGGAGCCACGGTGAAGTGAGCTTAATATTTATCCATCCACGACTGCCACAAAGATTGGAGGTTATAAATTTGCGGAAACTATGATTAAGGTGAAAGGTAGTAATTAGTGCAACAGTAGGCACTACACTATCCTAGCTATATAAGAGACCAAGATATTAATAACCAACTAAAAAATAAGTACCTATTTTCAATTAAGGGTCAAAATCATTCATAAGCTTAATTAGAATTGAAAAGAAATAAGCAAAAAATGATAATACATAGTTCATTGAAATAAGAAGTTCAATCTATTTGCAATAAATTTTTCACTATTCTCCACAGATTATTTCGTCTAAATATCCTTTGAAACGATTTTCCAACTTAAATTCAGTGAAATGGATAAATTCAGGGAAAGAAAATCATTCTTCCGATAATCAAGAATTATGCCTAAAAAAATATTAAATTATTACTAATAGATCTTCGTTCAGAGATTAAATACCTGGAGATTTTCTTTCTTTCTTATTATCTATTTGAAAACAGATAAGGTATTATTCATTTTATCAATGAAAAAGCTAACTACAAAAATTCTAATTCGAATCACCCGCCAAATGTATAAATCTTCTGACCAATCACGGGCGACGTACCCAGTTGCACTTTACAGTAGCCTGTATCGGACTATATGACACAAGAACACCACCGAGATCCGAAATCACCGATTTTGGAGGTTATGATTGACAACCTATGTTATTTTTAACAAGTCTGTTATTTTATAAACACACAGAAATAACAACCTGTTCACAAATAACGTGTCTGTTAAAAATAACATTACTTATCAATAACCGATATACGATAGAAGTGGAAACTGCCGTTCTGTTTGTTTGAGTTAAATATTAAATAGCTACTATTAAGTTATTTTTTAGAAGTTTATTATGCAAAAGTAAGTTTCTATTATTATTAACGTACTAAATACATCTTTAAAAAATATTCATCAGAATATGTTATATACGTTTCTAATCTCAACATTTTAATTTTAGATACTAAAACACTACTAAGTATCAAACTGCAATTCAAACTAAGCCAGTACTTTAAAGAAGGATGAAGCACAAAGCACTTTTTCATTTTTTAAAAAGAAAGAACTTAAAAAATAGTGGATTGGTACTATACAACGTAAAGACTATGTTGTTAACTCATATTCAGTAGTAAAAACATTTTGATCAAACTGATGTAGTAAATGAATAATACCTTGATAAAAACGGAATTAAGTATAAAAGAAAACGGAAGTATCCCAAATTGAAAACGTGTAATTCGAAGACTTTTTAAAAACCATCCTAATTTTTAAATCCAGAAAATGTAGAAAGAAAAGATTCTAAACAGAGGTGAGCTGAAATATTTAAAAGACAAGAAAATGAAGTAATATACTGATCTAATACACAATTTTAGTGAATTATTAGTGAATGTAAAAGTTATTTTAAATAATTGAAATGTAAAAATGTATTCTTTTACATGCTTAATATTTGCACTCCTGATTGTTCCGATGAGTGTCCTGAAATAATTTCTAGCATAAGAGTTCGTATGGATTTAACTGTGTCAATGTTTACTAATGACGTGCAAGATTTAAAATGGATTTTAACACATGAATGCAAAGGTAGGAAGACGCAAAAAATTATGTGGACGTTAATTTTTATATTTTAAAGGCTTCACATATTATTGATGCCATTATTAAACATTTTAGAGATTATGAAAAAAAAGCAACCCATCAACTAATTAACAATCAATTATAGTTTGACTACAAAGAAAAGATATTCATTGTCAACAATTTTACTCTCACTAACTATATTTCATTAGTCATCTTCCACTTATACATATTTAAAAAAATTCAAAACTTGCCTACTAAAAGATATTTGCAAATAATAACTTCATCATTCCAGTTATTCCCTAACCGAAACTTGGGAGGATAATTATTGTTCATACCTTGCTTCACATCTCAATGATAAAGAGAAGGTTGTAAATTTATTAGTAGATGAAATATGTGTCAAAGCGCCTTTACAATACCAATCTAAGAATGTCACAGGGTATGCCACAAATAATGCTGGCACATTTGCCCATTTTAAGGTGGTGCATTACAGCGTTACCAATGAGTGAGCAATTACTCACATTTGTAAGCACTTAAAGAAATGTGAAGTAAAAGTAAAGCAGTTGCAGATTGTAAGCATTTTGTGAGCAAATTTAATATTGACTCCCTTGACAACTGCCTGACACGCATAGAACGGGAGCATACAACCGAACTTTTTCAAATTTGGCCTTGTTCTGAAGAAGTACCAGCATTAAATATACTGGCGATAGTTGTAGTACCACTACCATTTATATTAGTGCCAAAGATTGTATTGATGATGATGCGTGGGATAGCTATGAGGAAGCTGAAGCGGAAGAAATAATTTTGAAGGAAAGCAAAACTCCACTAACTATAACTAATGTAGAATAATCCAAATTTTTAGTTACTATATATTCTTTACTAAACTTATTTCTTTTAGAATGTGCGACAGAAAGTTGTAATAAAGTAGCACATAATGAGGCGTAATTTTAATTCACCAGCATCAACCTACTATTTTCCTTCATCGAAAGAAAGTGATGATGAATTTAATCACTAAT